AATATTTTATTTTATCAATATTTATAAATAAAATAATTTTAAAATTATAGAATTAGGTTGAGTGTCATAAGAGGGGCTGTCCAAACCTTGCCATTTCAAGAAATGAGTTTAATAATTTGCACGTACACATTGTAGATTTAAAAATGAAAAATTCAATTAAATGATGAGATTTAAAGATGGGACTCTTTAGGATTAACATAGTACAGTATTTACTTTATATCAATATCGTATCAACTATCAAATACTTTAGTTTGGTATGAAACTTTATGTATGTCGTACCAATCTCTATCAGAGACAGATCTATTAAGAGTCTCATGGGGTCCCTGGAGCCCGCGGACCCCGGTGTGGGTCTATATAGATACTCTCTCCGTCCCCAATTTGATTACAAATTGCGGGTTACGGAGTAAAATTTTTTACTTTTTGAAATTATTTTATTTACAAATTAGTATATTAATAAGATATAAAAATTACATATTAAAAAACTACGTCAAAAGTTCCACAAAACAAGAGGTGACAAGAATATTTTATTTTATCAAATACTTAATGAAATCACGTAAACAAACAAAAGTCATCGAGAAGATAGAGGAAAAAGAATTGTGATATATTTAGGAACGAAGGGAGTATTAGGTTTTAATTGATATTATATACTCCCTCCGTCTCGGAAAAATATGAGAGTTTTGATTTTGAAAAGGAATTTAACGAGAGTGTATTTTGGTATTAAATTTCAAAAAATGTCCTTTGATGTGATGGGTAAAAGTATGATTTGATGGATAGAGTATTAGTAAAAAGGTATGATGTGATAGGTAGGGTATGAAAAAGTAAGGGGTAAAAGTGACTTTTTAATAGAAATGAGAAGTGTTTTTTGGAACGGATGAAAAAAGAAAAGAGAATGGTTTTTAGGGACGGAGAGAGTAAAATTGAAAGAAACTCAAATTTGACTATGGCCATGTTTGGTAAATGGCGATTCACCTAGCATTTGGCATCTTTGACCATAAACGGCAGATTGGACTAGTCAAACCGCTAAATTAATTGTTTGGATAATGGCTTTTGGAATTGGCATTTAGAACCGAACAACCAAGAATTGAAATGCCAACCCTAGCAGCATTTCACTTAACAGTTCACCCCCTTTTCTGTTTCCTACCCTCTTCTCGGTGTTGTGTCTCTCTGTGATCCTCACGGAACCGGGATTGGTGTAGAGTATTTTTATATATTTATGATATCATATTTAAAAAATTATAAAATAAAATATATCATGCGTGGTTGTTATTTGTAGAATGATAAATGAGAAAAATACAAAAAAATCTACTTATAAAATATAAATGTAAATTCTCATTTATTAAATAAAAAACGAAGTAGCCTTTTTTGTCCAACAAAAAATATATGATATCATATTTAAAAAATTAACATTGGTGTAGAGTATATTAAAAATATATGATATCATATTTAAAAAATTATAAAATAAAATATATCATGCATGGTTGTTATTTGTAGAATGATAAATGAGAAAAATACATAAAAATCTACTTATAAAATATAACTATAAATTCTCATTTTTTAAATTAAAAAAAACAAAGTAGCTTTTTTTGTCCAACAAAAAAAATCTATGTAAAGCATTTTCTTGTATAATGTGTGTATTTTATCAGATTAACAAAATTTAAAATCATACACAAATTAACATAAATGGAGGGATGTCTTTATATGTAATTTTACTCACAAACAGCTAACTATAAACAGCTAAATTTGCCAAACATCTAATTTTTAACAGCTTCCAGAAACAGTCAGTCAAAACAGCTAACTTAATTAGTCATTCAAACTAGCCAACATAAACAGCCAACTGCCAACTGTCATGTTCCAAACAAGGCCTATGTTCCAAACCAGTGAAAGTTGTGCTCGAACCTTGGAGCAAGTTATTTTTATTATCCCCAGCATGTTTTTGTATTTTATTTAGCATTTTATTGATATGATTTATGAATTCAATTGATTGTTAATTCTAACCTATAAATTGATTAAAGGTAAAATATTTAGTATGATTTAAAGTGTAAATCTAAAATGTCTAATTAATGATTGTTTATTAAAATTTAATTTACAATGCAAAGATATTTGAAAAAAATATTCAAAATGTAAAGAACTAAAATCTTGTGAGAGTGGTATAGATTTTAATATTAGTACTTTAGTGTCCCAAGTAAGTATTCAATCTGCTTATATGAAAAAAGATTTGAAAGCAATTTCAAATTTGAATCTTTCCAGGCTGATTCTAACTTAAGGAAGAAAATATTCGATGTTCATCTTAGATACTTAATGTTCAAGATAAGATGCGTCATAGTTATCTTCAAAAAGTATATATGTGTAAATCTTAATGAAGTGAATTTTTTTTCTAAACTAAGTAATTAGTGGAAAGAAGCATATATAGATGTGTTTCTTCTTGATTTGACCAATTATAAAATACCTTTGTCCAACATATTAATAATTAAAATCATATATATATATATATATATATATATATATATATATATTAGCATTTTATTGATATGATTTATGAATTCAATTGATTGTTTTATATATATATATATATATATATATATATATATATATATATATATATATATATATATATATATAAAAGAGAGTTCCACAATTGTGGTGATGACATGTGTCATGCCACGCGTGCATACTACTAACATGTGTCACGCCACATGTAAATCACATGACACATGTCTTTCCATGCTTGCATATTAAATTTTATATTAAATAATCACTATTTTTATTAAATTTTTATAAACTTTTCACTTTCTCACTATTTTAGAAATATTTTTTCATTGTTTTAACATATTTTCTTAAATATGCGTGACTATTTTATAACTTTAAAAAAATTATATAAAATGTATTCATTAAAAAAACAATGTTGCCTATAAATTTTAAAATTATCCATGATCCCAAAAGAAATTATTATATATAAATTTTATCACACATGCATCATTATTAACTTCATAACACATTTTAATTTTTTTTCTTATTACATTACTTATTTTATAATATATTTTTTAGCAAACGAAACAAAGTAAAAGTTTAATTGAAGGATTATATGTGGCACATGAAAAATATGCATTATCTAATGATGTGTCATTTCTTAATTGATCTATTTGAGATTTTTATTTTAATTTTTTGTTGATTAAAACAATTTTCATTATTATTTTATTTGATGACCATTAATTTTGTATAAAATTTTTGTGGCATGCGTGCAGTACATATATGTATTTTCTATTACACATATTATAGTATAGGGTGTATATTTTTTCAAAAAACTAAACTAAACAAATTTAGAGTTGAAAGATGATATGCGTTGTATGTCATATATGTATTTTCTAATTATGTGTCATTACTTAATTGACTCCTTTGAAATTTTTTGTTTTAATTTTTCTAATTGAAAATTATTTCATTATTGTTTTATTCAATGACCATTTATTTTGTATAAAATTTTTCACGTCACTTATGCACACCATGCCACATGTGATGCCACAAGTGCAATATCATTATTTTATTTTTAATTTTTAAACTTAAGCATTTTCACCCATGCATCCTAGCTCAGTATGCTGCCCTCTGCTGACGAATAAAATCTTTAAATTAAAATTACTACGGAGTACTTTAATTTAATCCTTTCATATAACGGATGTCTAGACGAAAAAGTGTAGACATACTTCCTTCGTGTCATACAAAACACTGAAATCCAACACACAATGTTATTAGAGGCATTTTATACTACGAACCAAAAAATACCTCTCTCTTTAAATATTTATCTACTTTTGTTTTTTCAGAATAAATATTGATAAGTTTTGACTCCGAGTTAAATAAAATTAATATTAGATATTGATACAAAAATAATTTATAATATTTATTCTGTTAAATATTTTCAAAATATTATTTTTAAATTAATAAACCATATAATTTATATTTAATTATATATTAAAACTTGAAAATGGTTACTGCAGAAAATCAAAAAAGGACAAGTGCTCAAAAACGGGTAGCTAGTAAGAGATATTATTATTATTATTATTATTACTATTATTATTATTATCATCATCATCATCATCATCATCATCATCATCATTTTGAAGTTTGAACCAATAAAATATACTCCTCTTATTTTAGCCCTCTACTCCCTCCGTTCCTGAGTATTTGTCCCTTTTAACTTTTTGCGATCAAATTGATAAACTTTAATTGACCTCTAGTTAAATAAAAATTATATTAGATATTGATACAAAAATAGTTTTGTTATATTTATTATATCAAATATTTTCAAAATATTATATTATCTAATTAATGCACAATATATATTTTATTTAATTATATGTCAAAATTTAATAACGATTACTGAAAAAAGTCAAAACTAGATAAATACTAGGGATGGAAGTAGGGATGCATACAAATCAAATAAAATGTATTCGATTCTTGATTCGTATTCGAAAAGGACGTATTCGCTATATTCGAATTTGAATCCGAATACAAATCATATTTTAGATTCGAATTCGAATACAAATATTAATAGATTCGATTTGTTTATTATTCGAATTATTCGAATATTATATTTTATAAATAAATTTACATATATTCTAATATATTAAATATTTGTGTACATATTTTAACATATTTTAATATATTAAATTTTTTTGTACATATAAATTTATATATATTCGAATGTTACAATTCATAAATAAATTTATATATATTCTAACATATTTTTACTACATTTTTAACTACATTTTACATTATTATAAAATAATAATTTAATGTCTTTAAGAAATCTGTTTTAAGAAAAAAATTACTAATATTTTCGAATTCGAATACGAATTCAAATACGTCAAATATCTATCGAATCGAATACGAATGTTTTTTAAAATTTGAATAATATACGAATCCGAATTCGAATACCTTTCACTTTAATCGAATACGAATCGAATAGTGATATATTTGATTCATTTGGATTCGTATACACCCTTAGATGGAAGGTAGTATAAGTTTTATTTTGTGCATGATTTTTTTAGATAAACTTTTTTTCAATTTAGAAAGTAGAGTATCATATTAAAGTGAAAGGTGTAGGGCCACCTACCTTGAGCTCTTGAGCCTTGAGAGTTGTGCCATGACCAGAACTGAAAAACGCCTCCGGACACCTATCCAAAACCTCATTCTCCCGACAAAACGGCAACCAACAAGCCGAAAACTTAGCCGCCTCCACCAGCGCAAAGAGCGTGAGCTCCGACGCGCCGTCGTCGGACACGTACACCGACACCTTCTCCGGCGGGTAGTCGTACGCCATGACCGACATTGCCGTGTTCGCCACATCCCACGGCGGCTCCTTCTCCGGATCCGCCGTGCAGATGAAAATATCCATCCCCGGAAACTCCTCCTCCCCCAGAGCTTCTCCCAAGTTCCCGATGAACTCTGTCCTCGTCACCTGCCGCATGCGGTAGGACTGAGCCGTCGACCACATGAAGGCGAGGATGACGTCGGCAACGAGCATCGGGAAGTGGATGAAAAGAGAAGATGAGGCAGCGGTGCGGTGGCGGAGGAGGAGGGTCCGCGCATGGCGGTGGAGGAGGGCGACGATGGCGAAGGCGTAAATAAGAGCGAATATACGGTTAAAAATCATTCGAGTGCGCAGGACTCTTAGAGCGTTGAGGGGAGTAGCCAGAGCTTTCTCCATATCTGGACTATTTTCTTTGCTAAGGATTAAGGAACAACACAATAACACATAGAAAGATCTTTGCACATTTGATCTATGAAGGTCTCAACTCCAAAGAACTATACTTATAAATACATAGAATGAAAATTTACCTAAATAGGACTAAAACATAATAACTTTTCTAATATTATCATATGAATACATTATACATACTAGCCCATATAGGGCCGGTAATAGTTACTCCTCCCGTTAGAAAATGTTTTTTTTATTTGATTTTTCGCAGTTTTTAATGTTGCACTTTGAATATTAATATCTATATTTATATATTAATATATTTTATAAAAAATTGATATTTTAAAATTATGTTTCGTTAAGAATATATTGATATTAAATTTATATCTTCATATGATGTATTTTTGTCACAAATTGGAGTTAATATTTACAAATTTTGACCAAGAAAAATCAAATGTGAATAATATATATTTCCGGACGGGAGAGTGTATTGTTGTATTTACTCCCATTTTGACTCTATTTTCTACTAACGTTAAATTAATAATTTTAAGTTCAAAAATACAAAAGAGAGAATTCTGACACAATACCGCCACTTTTAATTGTAAAATTGTCCATTCAATATAAAATGAGTGAATATAATCAAAATGTAGGTGAATATAGCAACACTCAATAATAAATTGTTTTTTTTTCTTTTTTTTCTTTTTCCTTTCATTCCAAAATACTCCCCCTCCCAAAAAATGTTTTTCTCTTTTTATATGTCAAAAGATCATTTCATATTTGTTATTCACATGATCAAATTTAGTTCACTTTTTTTATATAGATCTTTTTGTAATTTATTTTATAAAATAATATAGGTATGTCATATCATGTTTCGTAAAACTTTTGATGTAGTATAAAATATGTAATTTTTTTATTCTACCTTAGTTATCAAATAAATGATATTAAAAATAACTTTAGTCATGCATCATAAATTAATATAGACTATTTAAATTGGATGAAAGCAATAATTATTAATATATCGTCACATAATAATTACATTCTTCATTTTTAATTACTTAACTCACACTATAATGACTTTTGAGATACATCAAAATTGAATAAACATAGATTGGAGAACTCCCTATATAGAAGTAAACAACTATGAAAATATCAAAATGTGAGTCATAATTAAGTCTTTTAAGATCAAAATAAGAGTTCACACTGTCATTGTTACACTGTCACACTTACCACATTGTCACATTGTAACTGCCACACTACCCCCGCCACATTGTCGTCGTCGGCCACCCGAGTGCCACCGCAGGTTGCTGATAGTTGACTACTCACACTCACATATTACACTGCCAACGCGTACTCTTACATTACACTACCGTCATACTCAGTGGCGGACCCAGGAATTTCGGTGAGTGGGTTCAAATTTTGTGCACAAAAAGAAAATGTTGATATTTGTATAGCAATAAATTTAAAACAAGGTAAAAAAGTATCAATAAATAGCATTTTGAGATAAATATTGCAAGTTGTATGTAATACTTTTGAAAGAAATATTTGCACTAAATAGCACTAAAACTTAAGTCATTTCTCTAAATAGCACTTAGATTGTTTTATTCCCTAAATAGCACTTAATAATGTCCATAATGTCCTGTGATGGCAAATATTTGTTTGAATAATGACTACTGCATAATGAATAAAAGTGCTACATTGGGAATAAAAACACATGTGATGCTATTTAAGGAAAATCATTATGTTTTAGTGTTATTTAAGTAAATTCCTCTTTTTGAATTACTGTCTAATAAATATAATACGTTCATTACTTTAACCAAAAAAGAAAAAAAAAACTAAACAACTAAAATATTAATTCTAGAAATTTCTTCAAACACTAAGTATATTTTAGGAATCTTTTTAAAAAAATTAAACTTGTTCATACATTTCAAAAAAAATTGAACATTTTATAATTAAGTTTCGTAATTAAAGTTAAATCAATTTTCCAAATCTAAAAGAATTAAAACATAAAATTCTACACAATTATAAAAGGTGTTCTTAGTTCCATTTTCAAAAAAAAATTGCACCTAATCACATATAAATATACTCTTCTTCCGCCCCTGGTCATACTCCTATTTTGGTCTTTAAAGACTTGAAACTCCTATTTTGGTATTTTTATACTTTTTTACTCTTATCCAAGTAGATTCCTTAACATAGATTGAATTAATATAGAAATGATGTATGTCAATATCTATTTAACTTTTAATATAATGTAACTCAACATTTGAAGAAATTTAGAATGAGGTAGAAATAACTAGATTGGGCAATAATAAAACACTTGAACTGGACCACATTCAAAGATTGAATCCAATCGTTTACTTAGTTCTACTCAAGAGCTTATATATCAATTTATTTTGTCTACAAGTTCCAATGTGGGACACTCTTTAACACTCCCCATCAAGTGGACGACGGGCCATTTTGAATCTAACCGGTTGACCACTTGCAAATGGACTCCCATCCGCTTATTTTTTTTCCAGCGCCAACACCTAAAGGACCACGAGCAGCTAGGTATAGACTTCCAAACGAGCAATCGGGTTAAACAGACCACAGGGCGTTGGATATACATTCCACAAAAACGACTAAGTTAAAGACTGGGCCCGCTAGGAATGAACATCTAGACAAACACCTTCACAAACGAGGTGGGCTAAAATGACTCCAATACCATGAAAAAATTTAGACTGGGGCAAGGATAATTGAATTGATACATAATACACTTGAGCTGAACCACATTCAAAGATTGATCCTACCGATCACTTAGTTCTACTCAAGAACATATATATATATATATATATATATATATATATATATATATATATATATATATATATATGTATGTATGTATGTATGTATGTATGTATGTATGTATGTATGTATGTATGTATGTATGTATGTATGTATGTATGTATGTATATTGATGGAAAATGCTTTTTCGGGGCGTCGACCCGACGAAATCGGTACCGGGTCGGCACCGCACCGAATAGCAAAATCCGGAAATTAAATAAATAAATAAAGCGGAGAGAAAATATTTATACGTGGAAACCCAAATCGGGAGAAAACCACGGGCCTTTTTAGGCGGTGCCATGCCAAAGGGGAGGAACTTTTATTAATCTCGGGAGAATTTACATATACATTTTTGTAGGAGCTTGGAGCCATTAATGGAGCTCCAAGCTAAAAGAAGAAGAAGAATGAAGAATAATAGTGAAACTTGTAGGAATTTGCCTTGGCCTCTCTCTTCCATCTCCCTCCTTCTTGTGTAAATGTCCATTATAAAGGGGAGTACCTGCATGCATCCCAACAATGCCATGAGGTGGCCATGTCACCTCCATGTGCATGCATATGTTTAGTATATGGGCTCCACGAAATATTTTCACATCATTTCAAATATATTCTTCTGTCCATATATCTCTGGTTCCGTATTGAATAATTTATCTGATTTATATCTTGGGCCAGATAAAATTGGGCTTTCTTGTACTGTTCAAATGATATTGGCTTAGGAAAAATCCCTAATCCATCACATGCCCCCTAGTTAGTCTGTCTCGGGGAACGAGACAGATTCAAAACTATATGACTCGGTGGGTTGCCTCGTGAGATAGAATTTTTCTTGGTACCTCGGGAAGAAGACTTTTCTCAGGGCTTAGTGCCTCTTGGAAGAGGACTTTCTCAGGGATTTTGTTCTTCTTGGAAGAAGACTTTTCTCAGGGATTTGACCTTCTTGGAAGAAGACTTTTTTCAAGGATTTGTGCCTCTTGGAAGAGGACTTTTCTTGGGGATTTGTGCCTCTTGGAAGAGGACTTTCTCAGGGCCTTGTACCTCTTTGGAAGAGGACTTTCTCAAGACTTTGTGCCTTTTTGGAAGAGGACTTTCTCGGGACTTTGTGCCTCTTTGGAAGATGACTTTCTCGGGACTTTGTGCCTCTTTGGAAGAG